CGCTCCCCCCTCCCTCATGAGCCCTTGATAGTTTATAAATTGTTATTTTGTCATATCTTGCTTGCTCTTTGTTTTTCATAATAAACAGAATCCCTGTCAAAGTTTGCCTTGCCTGGGAAATCAGAAGTGGCATCTTCCTGCAACACAAGTAATACAAATATCTTCCAGAACTATGCAATGGAGGTACAGTTTTACTCAGAAAGCATCTTTGTGTACTGTTTTAGAAAATTTGTGATAGCAGGCAGTAATAAAGGTTAAATTATATATTTAGCAATTCTTAAACTGATGGTGCTTTATTCCATGTATGATAATGAATGTCTAAAATCTTCAGAATATATGTCACATCTAAACAAATTTAAAATCCAGTTTTTTGCATAACTGGTATTTCAGGTTATTAAAGACATGCTACTGTATCTTAGTCAGAACAGTTTCATGCTAACTTTGAGACATTGTCAACATAGAAACTCGGTTTCAGCATGTATATGTATCCCTTGTTTTAAATATGCTCTCTTTGAATTTTTATTTTACAGCTTAAACACTTAACAGTCATTTTAATATGCAAGCACATTTTTCTTGGTGAGATTGAAAGGAGTGGTTATAGTTTTGGAAGAAGTTAATTTGTGTTTTTCATTCTTTATGTCATTTTGATAGAGATCTTTGCTGGTAACTCCTATCCATGCTCTCACCATAAAACAGCTGTGCTCTACAATTTTTATTCCAATTTTCCTAGGGAATAAATTGCTTCCTAATGTATTTATAAATGTTATTGCTATTTCATGCTAAACTGGACAAATCTGGAAAATATTAATGTGCTTAGAGCTAAAAAATAAATGAGCGCTGATGCCGTTTACAAAGTCCTTGGTGGCTTCAGTAGTAGCTTGTATTCTATTAAAATGGTCATTGTGTCGACAGTTATCTACAGCACTGCTTCTCAAACCACGCACAGTGACAGACCAGGGGTTTTTTCTTTTCTTTCATTCTTTTTAATTTCCAATTTGTCATGGCAGATACTTTTGTAAAAATGCGTTAAACACGTGTAGATGTTGCAGCAACGCTGAATTATTCCAGACATTTCTCAGTCCTCTTCTCATCGTCCTTGCTCATCTAATCACAAGCTCGTGAAAAGCTGCTTGTGGACCAGCACTGGTTAGGCACCACCCTCTGAGGAGCACCGGTGCATTTTCAGCTCTCCTGTATGGGAATTAGCAACACATGAACGCCCGAGCTTACTTTTCCATCAGTTTGCAATGGAAGAAATGCTTCCTGAAATAAAAGTTTCCCTTTCAGTCATGAATTTTAGAATAGATTTAGCTGAAATTGTGAGACATGGATATACAATGCACTGTGTTTTCCATTTTTGGTTTTTAACGTAGGATTCCTTCAGCGTTTTAGTTTTCCAATCGGTTTGTTCCTTGAAAAACGTTTCGTTCACAATGCGTACTGCCCCCCCCTCCCTGTCCGCCCGCAGGTTCTCATCTCCAGCTGCTCTCGCTGTCGGACGTGTGACTGCCTCGTCCACGATGAGGAGATCATGGCCGGCTGGACCGCGGAGGAGTCGAATCTCAACACTACCTGCCCCTTCTGTGGCAGTCTTTTCCTGCCCTTTCTGAATGTTGAAATAAGAGATTTGCGACGACCTGGAAGGTAACCATTGATGCTTTGTTTTTCTGCATGTGCACGGATCGTGTTTCCTGGAACATCTGTTTTCTTAAAAAGCTGCTTTGATTCACATGACAGGTACTTTTTGAAGTCAAGTCCATCCTCAGAAAATCTGTATTTTCCATCTTCCTCTTCAAATCCGACCAACCAGTCTTGCATTTCAGCTTCAGCTTCTGGTCTGGAAACGTCTGTTATCTCTATCCAAGGGAACTTTGCTTTAAATCGGTAATTATAATTATCTTGAATTATCCATTTTAACCATAACAGAAAATTTAGCTACTTAAGGTTTGACTTTCAAAAATAGAATGATTCTAATCTTAAATTCAAGGAGTACTGGGCTTCTATCTTGAGGATCAGCCATTTGAAACCACCATTCACTCTGTAGAAGGGAGATGAGGCTACCAGCACCGTCCCAAAGGGGCTTACAGCCGTGAGAACCCAAGGCAGCAGTGCTGCTGGGTCCTGGAGCGCCTCTGAGTTGTAATTGACTCAATGGCACTTTGATTTGTTGCTGTTTTTTAACCTTGAATTTATACTCTTAATTAAAACAATATTAATGCAGTTGGCTAAACTAAATCCTTAAATAAAACGTTTATGTTTTAGGAATCCCCAGAGTTTAAACTGTATAATTATGTAATAATATTTGCTATTATTTTGAAGGTAAATATTTTGTAGAACACTTAAAGTTTTTAGTGTTCTTATCTTACTCTGCTCGTAAGTCAGCACTGACTTCTGCTCGAATGCTTACTAGTCTCCCTAGACTGCTTCGTCATCGGAGAAAGCATGTAGCGCAGATGCAGAAGCTGTAAAAGTAAACTAAAGCGTATACTAAACAGTGCAGCTCGTCCAGCTCAATATAACCATAGTCTACCCTATGGGACAGGGTAGAATGTCCTCAGGATCTCCTAGGCTGTAAATCTTTAAAAAAACAGACTTGCAGATCTTTCTCCCACCAAGCAGATGATGGGTGTGAACTTCCAGCCATCAGCTGGCACTTGAGCACTTTAACCACTGTGTCACCAGGCTTTTTAACAGTTTGTGACCCCTGGGGCATATATTACCCACCATTTTCAGCCGCTAGTGTGTCTTGGGAAGCTGTTATTCGAGTTGTAGTACCTGGTGTCAGCTTGCAGGGAGGCACCTGTATAAGCTGTGTGAATCTGAAGAAACAGGCTTCACCCCAGCAGAGGTCACTGGGGATATATGTGTCGTACATCCAAAACCAAGTTCACTACCCAGTCGCATCCCACTCGTGACCCTGTAGGACAGAGTAGAACTGCTCTCTGGAGTTCCAGAGCTGCAATGTTTATGGAAGCAACAAGCTTTATCTTGCTACCTTGGGACAGCTGATGAGTTTGAACTGTTGACCTTATGGTTAACTGCCAAAGTCATAACCAACCCTTCCACCAGGACTCATTCTTTGTGTCCTACATAATTGTATCAAAATCCATGCTACCTCAAAAATACTTCAGCATGCCTTCCATAACTGAAAACAATATCAACAACAACCAAAAAATTAAGGCAGAAAGTAATTCAGTCAAAAGGGGTAAGGCCTTTACTGTAAGTTTAACATAAGTAAATCTGTACTTAAAACAATGGCAGATATCAATTATATTTTGTAGACGACATGGCAATAGCTGCATGTGCAAAAGAAGATTCCTACTTAGTACCCACGAGTAACATGCCCTGTTTGATCTGGAAGGCTTCAGCAGAGCTAGAATTCTGTGTGTACACATTCTTTCATCCTAGCTCTGTTGTAGCCATCTTTTTTCTTAGCTGTTTGTCTCAGTATCCTGAAGGAATAGATAGATATTTTTTTCTACTTTCTATTCCCAGGGCTTAGTGTGGGTCCTATTGCACCAAACTTGTCTACTACGTGTTTTGAATAGACGAATGGATCTTGATTGTTCATTGGCTGAAAAAGACACTGTTTTAAAGTGCACCCTGTGTCTGCTCCAAAGCCGAAGCAGCACCCGTCCTTTGATGTACATTGCTGTCTCGCTCTTATTCTAAAGGGAAATATGGTTCTTAAGACGAAGTAAAGTGAATTCAGACATTAATATGCTTCTTTTTTTCAATATCCAAGCAAATATAAACTGCCGGAAAAGTCAAGTGCTCGAAGTGTTCAGATCCCTCCCGATAGATCAAAACCAGCCATGTCAAAGTGTCCAGTATTTCCGATGGCCAGGAGTATTAGTGCTTGTGGCCCCTTGGATAAGGAAGACACTGGAGGAGAGCAGCTCGTTCCAACAGGCAGCCTGCCAGCCACTTTACACGGAGCTACGGTATGTTTGTTTTTAACTTGGACTTCTTACTGTGGAAAACATTGACAGGAATTGTAGAAAATGCTAGAGTATCGTGAGTCTGACATTTTTCCATTTGTGGATTTCATCTATTCAACAGGATACTTTAGGATTAGAATGGCACCTGCCAAGTCCAGAACCTATTACTGTTCCATACCTTAGTCCTTTAGTGGTCTGGAAGGAACTGGAAAGCTTATTGGAAAATGAAGGCGATCATGCAATAACAGTGGCGGACTTTGTGGACCATCATCCAATTGTTTTTTGGAATCTGGTGTGGTATTTTAGACGTCTTGACCTGCCCAGTAACTTACCTGGATTAATTCTTTCTTCTGAGCACTGCAACAAGTATTCTAAGGTATGAGCGGAAATATTAACTTTTCGCTTTGTAATGCTAGCATCATGCCTAATCATTTGTTTTCATGTTATATCTGTTTTTAGTAGCTGGATGATTAGATCGATAGAATTGCTTTAGCTGCATTCACAGTTGCATCCCTCATGCAGTATGTTAGTAAGACAAAGGTATGTTGTTAGCCTCCTGCTAAAATTTAGAAACTGGAAATTTGAGTTTGATTTTTTTAATATAAATCATTTTATTGGGGACTCTTCACTTATAACAATCCATATATCAGTTATATCAGTCACATTTGTACATTTGTTGCCATCATCATTTTCAAAACATTTTCTTTCTACTTGAGCCCTTGGTATCAGTTTCTTTATTTTCCCTCCCTCCCCACCCTCGTGAACCCTTGATAAATGATAAATTATTATTATTTTCATATCTTACACCGTCTACTGGCTCCCTTCACCCTCGTTTCTGTTGTTCATTCCCCTTGGTGGAGTGGGGGAGAGTTGTACATTGATTGTTGTGATCAGTTCCCTCTTTCTCCCCCCACCTGCCCCTACCCTCATAGTATCACTACTCCCATTACTGTTCCTGAGGGTTTTATCTGGCCTGGAAGCTATGGGTTGAGAGCTCATATCTGTACCAGTGCACATGCTCCGGTCTAGTCAAATTTGTAAGATAGAACTGGGGTCATGATAGTCAGTTAGGGTGGGGGCACATTAAAGAACTAGAGGAATGTTGTGTGTTTCCTCAGTGCTAGACTGCACCCTGGCTGGCTTCGTCTCTTCCTTATGACCCTTCTGTGAGGGCATGTCCAGTTGTCTACAGATGGACTTTGGGTTTCCAGTCTGACCCCCTTCGTTTGCATTGATATGGTTGTTTTGTGTCTTCTGGTGCCTGATACCTGGTCCCATTGATACCTCGTGTTCACACAGACTGATGTGCTTCTTCCATGTTGCTTGGTTGTTTCCCTGCTAGATGGCCGCTTATTTAACGTCAAGCCTTTAAGGCCCCACATGTTATATCTTGTAATAGCTGGACACCATCAGCTTTCTTCACCACATTTGCTTATGCACCCGTTTTGTCTTTGGCGATTATGTAGGGAAGGTGAGCATCACAGAATGCCAGGTTATTAGAACAAAGTGTCTTGCATTGACGGGAACTTGAGTCGAGGCCCAATGTCCATCTGCTACCTTAATACTAAACATATAAATATATGTACATAGACCTACATCCTTATCATTACATATTAATATATTTATATATATACATGCCAATATTTGTATCTCTATAAATGTCTTTTGCCTCCAAGTTTGTTCCTCTATTTCCTTTTACTTTGCTCCTGTCCCACTATCATGTTCGACCTTTATTCAGCTCTCAGTAATTCCTCTCGGCTACATTGCACTTGATCAAACCCCCCAGCATTCTATGCCCTCCTTGCCATCAATTTTAGATCTCTTGTTGTTCCCTTGTCCCTTGGTTTGTTGGCTTCCCCTTCCCTTTCCCCCACCGCCTCCTCCCCAACTGTTGTTTTCTCTTCGGGATTGTAAACAATCCTGCCTATCTTATATAGATATGGGGGTGGGGGGAGCCTATAGATAGTTCCAGATTTGTCTCCTGACCTTATGAATGTTTCCTGATCAGGTCTGAGGAGGTGCCCAGCCTTGCCCCCCAAGTCAGAACTCTGTTTTCAGGATTCCTCAAGATTTTGTTGCTTTGCTCCCCTTGTTGCTCTGTTGTGCTCCCTTAGTGTTTCTTCCCAGTGTGGGAGGGGGGATTGGGGGGGGAGGGTGTGTGTCAGAGTGGGCACAATTCCTCCACTGTGTCTCCAATGCTGTCCTCTGTAGCGCTGTGGGTCAGGGAGGAGACATTGTGTCTCTGTATCTCCTGGTGGAGCAAACCCTACAGTCCTTCTGTGCATTGGCTGCTGCGAGCAGGAATGTTGTCCTTGAGGCTTGGTGGGCCAGGATGCTGGTTTGTGTTCTCTGTCTCTCTCTGTCTCTCTCTCTCTCTCCCCTTCCCTCCCTTTTTCCCCTCTTAGTTTGCTCCCCTGTGGTGGTCTGGGCAGACCTGCCACTCTCCCAGGGTTATATCTTCAGTGCTGTCCTCTATAAATCATTCTTCCGGAGAGGGGAAGTTTGATTTTTTTTATAGTCCCAAGAATAAACTGGCAGTGAAGCAAACATATGTATTTAAATGTTTTGTACACCTTTTAACACAAGCCTAATGCTGTTTGAGAAGGGTATCTATAATTCATATTACAGCTATGTTCCACTATTCTCTCCATCCTTTTCTTCTGAGTGTGTTTAATTAAGTTAGACAATTAGTTTGTTATGTGCTAATTTGTATTTGTAATATTTTAGTCTGTGGGAGTATTTTTAGTTTTCTATGTGCTATCACAACCATTAAATTGCAAAACATTTACCATATATACTGGAGTATAAGCCAACCTAAATATCAGCCGAGGCACCTAATTTTACCACAAAAACTGCATTAAAATTATGCTGGGAAATTCGGCTCATAAGTGAGTATATATGGTATGTTTAGGAACTTTGCCTTCTCCCTTCTTGTCCTTCATGTCAATTATTGTGCTGTGCTTTGGATTTCAGGACATGATAAGTGAGTGCTCAAGAGGTGAACTTAGTCAGGGTTTTCTGGGCCAGGGTCTGAGCTCAGTACCGAACCCTCACTCACAGTGAGTCCCTCTGAGTTTCCTGAGGCTGTGAGTCTTTATGGGAGCAGAGACCCTATCTTTCTCCCGAAGGGCAGCTGGTGGCATCGTACCACCAACCTTGCAATTAGCAGTCCAGTGCTTACCTGCCACTGCCACTGGGGCTCATACAGAATGAGACCCCTGAGCTCATCTTTTAGTGAGCAGAGCAGGATTAGTCTTTCCCAGCACCCATTCTCACTGACCTCAGTACTTGGTTAATCTTAGACTGATGCTGCTTCTGAGGTCATGAACTTCTCAATTCAGTACATCTTTCCTTTGGAAATAACAAAATGCGTACAAATCAGTCATTTTATGTTTTCTTTTGCGTGCATATATCTTTACAAAGCCTTTACATTATTTACAAAAAATTATCATGTAAGGATTATTCCTGAATGTTTTTTCGACAACACAGATTCCTCGCCACTGTATGTCTGAAGATAGTAAATACGTTTTAATACAAATGTTATGGGACAATATGAAGTTGCATCAAGATCCAGGACAACCCTTGTACATCCTCTGGAATGCCCACAGTAAGTGCCTTCCTAGCACCCTCACTCCCTGCTGTGAGGAGCTTCCCCTAATGGAGAACGGACTCTCATCTTCCACTGCTTTTTGTCTTACAGGTCAACATCGCCCTCTTTTGTTTGAGAGTGAGTGCTAAGCTTGATGTTTTGAGTGCTGCTTCTGAAAGGCTTCTGCTCTTGGGAGGTGTGCTGTGGGTGTGCTAGAGGGTCATGTTGTCCAGGGATCCAGCACACTGCTTGCCGAGTTTCTTCTTTTTATTTATGTGTTATTTCCATTCCAGGCTGTTGATTTAGAATCTCCTTCAAGGCTGTATTAAGAAAAGTAATATTTCAGTTATTATCTACTTAAGAACACAAAGAGCTGTACTCCTGTTTTTGTCACAGTAGCTGTCCTATTTTTCCTGTTTTTTATTCTTTTTCATTCTTAGGCTTCTGTTCCTTTCTTTATTATCCTTCATTTATTTTGATGCTCTGTTATTTTTTCCATAGCTATCAGTTGCTGCTTATTTTCTTTCTCCGATGTACACAGAGCATTGTCCTTTATCTGTACTTTCATTCTTTTGCAGCCCAAAAATATCCAGTGGTCCATTTATTGCAGAAAGGTAACCAAGGTAACTCATTTAACCAAGAACTATTGAAAAGTATGGTAAAAAGCATTAAAAGGAATGATGTCTATGGACCAATGAGTCAGATTTTAGAGACACTGAAAAAATGTCCACATTTTAAAAGACAGAGGTAAGTCATTCTCTTTAATGAATATATTGTTCCTGTAAGTTGATTCATACTGTTTGTTTAGCAATGTGGTAGAATAACCCATGCTTATATTAGCATAACCAATGTTATAGGAAAAACTATGGACTTTCTGGATGCTAATATTTCCCCTACCTCTTTCTCTGCCCAGGAGTTTATACAGAGAAATACTGTTTCTCTCACTTGTGGCCCTAGGAAGAGAAAACATTGATATAGGTAATTCAACATGTTATATAATATATCATGTATATGTACTGTGGTATCATATGTAAAGTGTTTTTATATTGGTAGTCTTACTTTATGATTATACAATATTAATTTTTAAAAGAATATTACTTTGATATTTTATCTAATATAAATAGTACATTGATACTTTGGTTATGGTAGTAATAATCATATGTATGTTTCATCATGTATGTGAAAGTTGTGCAGTGATAAAAGAGAAATAGAAAGAGAATCAGTGCATTTGAATTATGGTGTGTTAGGCAGGGTTCTCTAGAGAAGCAAACCAGGGCAGTTTATATGTGTGTGTGTGTGTGTCTGTGTGTGTGTGTGTGTGTGTCTGTGTGTGTGTGTATCCATATATGTATATATGGATAGATTTATACAGGACGAAGGAATATAACAACTATTTAGTCCACACAGCAGTACAGAGGGCTCAGTTCAACTCACTTCTGTGGAACAGTTAATATATTGGAAGTCCTTCAACTCACATGGCTGCCAGGGCCAAGGTCAAGGAAGCAGACAGCTGAGTCTTCCCTTGGGCAATGCAGGAAGTCTGCCCACAGGCAGCAAACAGCAGGGTGGGTCACCAACAGTCAGCAGCTCAGGAGCTTAGCTAAGCAGACCCAGATAGGATATTGAACTCAAGCAATGCAAGACAACAGGATCCACCAGCCTCAAGCTCAAGCAATATACACACCAGCAGCATGGCGAAGCAGGTCTCAAAGGAACCTCAAGCTCTAGTGACACGATCCACCGGTTGGCTGTCCCACAGGTAGGATAGCTCACAAGTTGAGGCAGAGAACTAGCTAAAGCAACTGCATGCTGGTCTGATCACCAGAGAGCAAGAGAGAGAGGGGCGGGCTTTGCCGAGGAATTTATCTCTTTGCCCTCCAATCAAACTGTGACCTTATTAATCCCACATGTTCCTATTGGCCAGGTTGGCACAATAAACTTACCTATCACATATGGTTTGGGCAAAGAATATTGAATATACTGTCTACATTATTGAATATTGAGTGGACTGTCTAAAGAATGAACAGATCCTTCTAAGATCATACCACCCTGAACATACCGGAACTTATCTGATCTTGGAAGCTAGGTAGGGTCCGGCTTGATTCGTGCTTGGATAAGAGAATGAATATATCAATCTTAGGAGAAGTATAACAACCAGAATACCCCTTAGAAACAAGAGTGATGCGTCTTCAGCTCGCTCACTTTGGAGTCGTCATCAGGAAAAAGCAGTGGTTAGAAAAGGGCACACTGTTCGGTACAGAGCCAACCCAATCCAGGGAAAGTTTCAGTGGCTTGACATAACAGCTACATGAGTGTATTTAAACATACCAACTATCACAAAGGTAGCACAGTCCTGGCAACATTTCATATCAGGCAGTATACATAAGAACGCCATGAATCAAGTCAGCTTGTTGGCAACTAATAACAACAGCAAGTAGTAGTGAATAATAATAGGAAAATAACATAGGGAGTATTTTTGAGGGTTTACTCTCTTCTTTATACTGAAATAATACGTTGTAAGTACTACTTCATATAATTTCCCCCAAGAAGTCCAATAAGATAGGTACTGTTATCCACTCAATATTTAGGAGACTGAGGATTTGAAAAGTTCAGTGGCTTAATCTAAGGTTTCACAGAAGGTAATAGACCCAAGCAGTCTTAAGTTCAGATCCTGTGCTTTTAGATATCACATTATATTATTAATGTCCTTAAGCTTCTTTCAGAAAGAATTTAAAGTAGCAAAATATGTTAGAAGATGCTAAACTTTTTAGTTAATCAATTCCTTTCAGTTATGTTACCATGTTTGGCCTCACTTAAGTTTTCTCTTTCTGTCCTGAGGAAGTATAGAAATAACTCTTAATAGGAAAAAAGAAAATTGGTGGAAGATTTGGTTTTGAACATGATTTGGCCTTCTGTTTGAGATTAATAGTATTGTGGATAGGTTTCTGATAGTAAATATAATTCATCTGACTTGAGTAGTGTATAACTTGAGGGGTAATCTTACCCAAGCTGACCTACCAGTCAGTGAAAGAATCTGGAACAGACAATTTTCTATTAGGTGATTATGTATTGGTCTTAACAACAACAAAAACAAATCTAACATCAACACTTGCAATGGCTTTTAAAGTGCCTGTGACATTGGCTACAACCATTGATTAGTGGTATCAGTTAGTAGGATGATGTATACAACTATCATATGCAGTGCTTTGGGTTACTCGGCCCACAGGGATCATGAATAGAAAGCTAGGGCTCTCTTTGTATATTTTGCTTCCCAACAAGTTTACTGAGGTTTGGGAGAGTTACTGAGTAAAGGAGAAATCTACAAGTAGCCGTCCCTAGCTGGATATCCCAAAATGCCATCTGACCACAGGTGACTTGTCCACTGGGAACTGTTAACCTTTAAGCCCAAGAGAGAGTGTGTAAGCATTTGGCAGCAAAGGTATGAACAGTGAAATGGCAAGCATCTTAGAGAATAGAATTATTATATATATATGTGATGTTTTAATCAAAACAAACATTTAAAGGTTAAGGAGGCTAATTTAGTTAGAAGGAGAAAATAAGAACGGGAAATTAACTTGCATTAAAATTTAGCTATAAATCCAAGCTAGGTAGAGGTTCTTATTTATATATAAAAGGTGCTAAATATATCAGAAAAGTATAATTCAGGAACACTAGACTCAGAATTAACATTAAACTGGTGATGGAATAAAGTAATAGAAGGTTAAAGGAAAGATAGTTGTGTTTAACTTATAATTCTGTCTGAAAAACATAATATGTGAGCTGTCCTTCCCATTAAACAGAAGGTAAAAATGAATGGATTTAAATTAAAGCCAGGAGACTGAGCAGAATGTTGTGATGGTTTTTTGTACTTGAATGGTTGTAAAACACTGGTGATGATTTGAGAAAATGATTTGAATGTTAACCTGGAAAATTAATCATGCAAGAATATCAAGGAATAAAAAATGTATAGTAAGAGAAACAACACTTTGAAGGAATTAGAGTGGCATACTAAAAAACTCTAGTTAAAACCAATAGGGCAATAATGAAGAAATTAAGGAACAAGGAAGCATAAAGCACATATAAAATAAACTGCAAATGACAGATAAAAACCCTATCTTTGAGGAATGTTATTAAGTGTAAATGGATTAAACTCTCTGTTTAAAAGGCAGCTATTGGCAGAATGACTTCTTAAATCTGCTAAGAGGATATAACAATTGTAAACATCCATATACTTAGCAGTACAGCCCCAAAATACATTGAGTAAAACTGACAAAACTAAAGAGAAATAAGCAATTAAATAATAGTGGTTGGAGATGGCAGGAGCTTACTTGCAATAATGGCTAGGACCAGCTAGACAGAATATTAGAAAGACTGGAAGACTTGACCCACACTACAGCACTATATGCCAGTTAGAGCTAACAAACATCTATAGAGCACTCCATCCAACAACAGAATGCATATTCTTCTTCAGTGTGCATGGAACATACTCCAGGACAGCCCATACAACAGGCCATAAAAACATCTCTCAATAAACTTAATGAAAGTTCAATGCATACAAAGTATGTCCTTCAGCTACAATGAATGAATTTTTAAATAATAGAAGGAAATATGAGAAACTCACAAATATGTGGAAATTAAACAATATACTCCTAACCAATGAGATGAAGAAAATACTTTAAGATGATTGAAAATAAATACAGCATCCCAAAACCTACAGGATGCAGTGAAAGTAGTGTTCAGAGGGAAGTGAATATCTGCAACCGAGTAAGTTGTTGTCAGGTGTTGCCCAGTCTGCTCGGACTCATCGTCACCTCGTGTACAACAGAACAAAGCACTGCTCAGTCCTCCAGCATCCTCACAATTGGAACCCATTGCTGCAGACACCGTGTCAGCCATCTGACTGAACATCGTCCTCATTTTCACTGACCTCTCTGTCAAGCAGGATGCCCTTTTCCAGGAATCCGTGGTATTTCTGGTACCTCCTGGTGGCGTGTCCCAAGTACACGCAGGGAAGTTTTGCCATCTTGATTCTAAGAACATTCAAGCTATGCTTCTTCCAAGTCAGTTTTTTTGTTCTTCTGGCGGTTCCTGGTGCTTTCAATATTCTTCACCACCACCCTGATTCCAAGCGAATGAACTCCTCTCCAGTGTTCCTAATTTCCTGTCCAACTTCTACATGCACATGAAGCAATTAAAAAATACCATAGTGAAAGGGGCGGGGAGAAAAAAATACCATAGCTTGGATCTGCCATATGTTAGTCTTCAAAGTGACATCTTTGCTCTTTAGCACTTTAAAAAGGTCTTGTGCAGCAGATTTGCCCAATGCCATACGCTGTTTGATTTATTTTGACAGCTATTTCCATGATTGCTTACTAGAATCCAAATAAAATTAAAACTTTGGCAACCTCAATCTTTTCTCCATTTATCATGATGTTTTGTATTAGTCCCATTGTGAGAAGTGGGAATTTCTGTTTTCTGTACATTAATTTATAATCCATAATACAAGATATAGTCTTCAGTCTTTATCTGTAAGTCCATTAAACCTCCTTGGCTTTCACAAGCAAAGTTGTGCCCTCTAATCCCAATGCTCTGTTCTTCACATAATCTCATTTCTCAGATTATTTGTTCAGCATACAGATTGAAAAATTATGGTGAAAGAATCTGACCTTGGCACACATCTTTCCTGATTTGACACCATGCAACATACCCATGTTCTATTTAATCACCTGTCTCTTGGTCTATGTCCAGGTTCTGCATGAGCACAATTATGTGTTCTTGAATTCCCATTCATCACCATAGTTTGTTATGCCTTTGTATAATCAATGGAAAACAAGTAAATATTTTTCTGGTATTCTCAGTTTTCATCTAAGATCCATCTGACATCAGCATTGATATCCCTCATTTCTTGTATTCTTCTGAATTACAGAAGAAGAAAACCTTCACATCTATTCCTTAACCTTCAACTGTATAAGACGCTAAACTCAAGACAAAGCGGAAGCAAGGAAATAAAAGAGATTAGGCCAGTTAAGAAACCAATAAACAAAAAGCTGGTTCTTTGAAAAGACTGACAAACCTTTAGCATGACTGTGACTGACTGAAATTACTAGGATCAGGGATGAACGAGGGGACATTATTATTGATTAACAAAATAAACTGGACCATAAGCCAATAGAATCATTCATTGTATGCCAACAAGTCAGATCATCTAAAAGAGACGAACAGATGTTTAGAAGACAGATGGCTGAACGTGACCCGAGAAGAAAGAGCCTGAGCAGTGGGACTTTGCCAGCAAAGCCTCCGTCGGAGCAGATGGACTGTGGGCGTCTTCTTCAATCCTGCCTGAGCATGGACGGCTTGTTATAACAACGTGGCATTGTCTGAGACGCACCTTCCTGACACAGTCACTGAAGGCAAAGCGGGTGCATAAACAAACGTGGTGAAGAAAGCGGATGGTGTCCAGCTATCAAAAGATATACCATCTGGGGTCTTAAAAACTTGTAAATAAACAAGCAGCGATCTAGCAGGGAAGCAACAAAGCCCGCATAGAAGAGGCACACCAGCTTGTGTGGTCATGAGCTGTCAATGGGAAAAGGTATCAGAAGTTCACGTAACCAACTTGATATGAGCGGCGTGGATGCAGTAGAGACCCAAAACTCACCTGCAAGGTAATTGGACAGTCCCTCTCAGAAGGGCCACACGAAAAGGATGATAAACCCAGGGTGTGTTATGGAGATGAACCACATAATTATCCACTAGTTCTTTAATATTTTCTTCCCTTAAGATTAAGGCTGTTATTTGTTTTAGCTCATTAATCATGTTAGATTTGCATATGTTCATTTGTTTATTTAAGATTGTTCAGTACATGAAAGTCAAGATACAAGATAGAGAGCCCTGCAAAAACAGTAACAGGAGTAATGCTTCCCTGAGGTAATGGGAAGTGGCAGGAGGGGGTGGGGTGGGAATGGAGATCTGATAGCATTGATGACTGTATAACTCCAGTCCATGGGATTGAACAACAGAATTGTATGTAAATCGATATATTGGATTGTGTAAGATATGTCAATAAAACTATTATTTTTAAAGCTTCACACAAAAGTCCAGAACAAGATATTCTTCATTGGCAAAGATTAATATCACTCCCTCATAAACCCTTCCCCCCCAAAAGAAGATAAAGGAACACTTTTTAACCCATTCTATTAGGCCAGCATTACCCTAATATGGAAACTAAAGAAAGACATCACAAGAAAACAATAAACCACTGCTCTTGAATGTGAGGAGCACAACAAAGTACTAGCAAACTAAAAGCAGCAACATACACGGAGGTACAAGAAAACGGAATTGAATGGTGCCGGGGGGAGCATTCGCAGGACGCATTTTCCTGCGAGGCAAGCATCCAGCAACTCGCTCTGAGTGGGTGGTGTTGCCTGGGAAGGTCCGTCTGGTCACAGAGAATTTTTTTCTTAAAAGCTGTTTCTCTCTAACCTCATTTTTTGTGATGACCGATTTAAGAGAACAGTGTGTAGCTGTGAAAGTTTGTTTCCTGCTCAGGAAAAAATGCTGCAGAATGTTGTGATGTTGAACACAGCTTACAAGGACAGCACTATGGGAAAGACTCAAGTGGTTTTCTCATTTCAGAAAAGGTGAAATGTTGATTGATGACAAACCTCATTCTGAATGTTCACCAACTTCCTGAAGGGACGAAAATGTCAGCTTTCATAGAGTGTCCCACCTGGTCAGACTGGTGATCAAAGATTCTGACAGGGGCTAACTTGTGGCAGACGGGGACTGGTTTTCCCACCATGACAGTGCGCCTGCTCACAGCCATCTCAGTGCACCCCACACAGCTTATTCACCTGACCTTGCTCCCTGCAACATCTTTTTGTTTCCGTGACTGAAGCAGAGCAGCAATTTGACAGACATAGAAGAGGTGAAGAAAAAAACGAGGGAGGTGCTGTCAGCCATCCAAACAGTTGAGTTTGAAAAATGTTTCCAAGAATGGAAGCGCAGATTTGATACATGTATCAAGTGTAATGGAGAGTACTTTGACAGTGATAACTGTTGTTTTGTAAAAATATTTTAGTACATAGCTTTGAAAAAAATTCCGGTTTGCAGGGAGTTACCCCCTCATATACAAAGGATTATATACCATGACAAGTGGGATTTATCCCAGGAATATGAGAGTGATTAATATACTACATCAATATGACACCATATTAATAAAGGACAAAGCCCACATAAGCATCTCACTATACACAGAAAAACACTTGGCAAAATTTAACACTATTTTGTGATAAAAAACAATCATTCAAAAAGCTAGGACTCGAAATAATAAAGGCCCTTTATGAAAAATCCATACCTAATTAAAAAGAGAGTTCATGAAACACGTAAAACTAACATCTTACCAAACAGTAAGAAGCCGAAACTTTCTCCCTGCGGCCAGCAAAGAAGAAGGAAGAAGAGGCAAGGACGTGCTCTCTCGCCCTTCTGTTCAGCAGTGGGAGGCACGGGCAGAGACACTGGGCCGGACAGAAGTAAAGGCGGGAGACTGGATGTTGAGAGAAGCAGACTGTGGGATTTGTGGCTTTGGCAAGATCGAAACCATGGCAGGTCCAGAAATTGATTCTCAAGGCCAGTTCACTGGTATTAAGAAATATTTCAACCCTTATACTCTCACAGGTAGAATAATTGTGTACTGACTGACCACATCGAGCATCGTTGCTTTACCTATCATACACTTCTAGTTAATGCCGCAAAAAACCTCCAGCTGTGAAAGTAACATAAATAGATTCACAGCTGCTAAGATCTCATGTCTGGAGAAGCAAATGTCAACCTATCATATAATATTCTGTACAGTCAGTTATGGGCGGGGGCAAGGATGTATACAGGGAGAAAAAAAGGCATCAAATTGAGAGATTATTCATAGATGACATGCTCAGATAATTTTTTAATTTTTTTCATATAATTTATATATGTATGTAACTATTAGGGTAAATAAAGTTTTAAAAAATTCAATTTTACAGGAATATCAAAAAGAATAAAACACTTAGGAATAAATTAAACCAAAGATGTTCAAGATTTGTACAATGAAAGCTAGAAAATATTTTTGAGAAATTCATTAAGACCTAAATAATAGAATGATATCCCATATTCATGGATTGGAAGACTTACTCTTTTTAATATGGCAATAGCTACCAAGTTGCTCTACAGATTGAAAGCAGTCTTTATAAAAATCCCAAGTGTATTTTGTTTGTTTTATAGAAATGGACAAACTTTAGGTTTTAATTGGGGGAGGAGAACTAAAATTCATACGGAGTCACAAGGAGCCCAGAACAGCCAAAGCAATCTTGAAAAAGAAGAACAAAGCTCGAGGATTCAGACATTTGTATTTCACGATCTCTTATAAAGCTAATAAAAATAGTATCACTGGCTTGCAATAAACATACAGGTCAGTGGGGAAAAACTGAAAGTCTAGAAATGGACTCATAAATCTATGGCTAAGTAATTTTGACAAGGATGCCAAGACCATTTCATGGTGGAAATAAGCTCCCCCCAACCCCCAATAAATGTTTCTGGGACAACAATCCATATACAAAAGAATGAATTCGGATTCCTACTGTACATGCATATAAAGTCAACTGAAAATAGCTCAAAGATCTATATATAACAGCTAAAATAGAAAACCTTTAGGGAAAATTTGGTATAAGCCTTTATGGGTTTATATTAGGGTGCAGTGTCTTAGATATACTGTCCTATAATGGACATCATCGACATTTAAATTTTATGTATATCAAAAGACACTGTCAATACAGAGAAAAGAAATACAAAGTTGAAAAAGATCTGCTAATCATATATATGATAAAGCTTTAGGATTCAGAATGTATAAAATACTCTTTACAACTCAATGAAAACAAATAATCCAACTGAATTTCCCCCAAAGAATGTGTGTGTGTGTGCGTGTGCGTGTCCAGTGTAAGCATGTGGAAGGATGTTCACCACCAGTAGGCACGAGGGAAATGCATCTCAAAGTGACAATGAGATCGTTTCATACCCATTCAAAAACATTTTTTTTAATGGAAAAGGGTAAGTGTTGGTAAAATGTGGGAAAATAAAGTTTCACACATTGCTGATGAAAGTGTAAAATGGCACAGCTACTGGAGAAAACTGGCAGTTCTCCAAAATGTCCCACCTAGAGTTACCATGACTCAGCAGTTTCCTTCTGCTCGTAACAGTATGACTGAAAAGCAAAAGGTATAAATAACCCAAGTTTTTGTCAGTATACAAATGGATAAAAAATGTGATATATCTATATAATGGAATTTTATTCAGCCATGAAGAAGGAATGAACATTTTTGTTCATCCTAATAGAAAATATCATGGTTCATATTTACTATTTTTATTAATTTTGACATATTAAAAACAAAGTGCTCCCACCAAAGTAATAGAAAAACCCAACTTGGTAGTAGTAAAAATTTGCATTTAAAATCTTTTAAGTTTCACTGATCGGTGCAATCTAACTCTAAAATTCTCTAGATGCCAAGGTTCCTGTTTCCCATTCCACTTTGGATATTTGTGTGTTTTAGTGATGCATAAATGACCTAGAAATTTTTTCTTGACCTCTGATTTTGTGGTTCTATAGTATTATATAAATTTGATTGTTGGCAGCATCAGACAAATTACCTTATATCTTCTTTATGAATTATTTTCAGATGCATTTGATAAAGAATATAAGATGGCATATAATCGTCTCACACCAAGTCAAGTCAAGAGTACACACAACTGTGATCGACCACCAAGCACTGGTGTGATGGAATGTCGGAGAACCTTTGGAGAACCTTACCTTTAGATATGTGTGTCTGCATGAGTGTGTGTGTGTGTGTGTGTGTGCGTTCAATATGTATTGTACAGTCGGTATATAAAAATAACACTTTTAGACTAAAATTTTTTCCCTCAAGTTTTGAAAACACCTTTTGTCAGTGGTTCAGAAGACACAGACAGCTTTGTGCGTGTAGAGGGCGCGTGAAGAAGAGAATGGGAATGTGGAGAGAGCGCCTTTGTTTCCCAGTTCTTCTTTCTTTAGCCTTTAATTCCCCTGTAATAAGTAATTATTTTTATTATGAGAAAGCTCCCATACAAAATTAGTTGCCATAAAGTAACCGAGCTGTTGTGTGGTTTCTCTTGGAAAGAGACAGATTGAAAAAATCATGTATGGAACCAAACCAGACATATAAGATCAAAGTAGCCCATTTTCCTAACTAGTCAAATGTTTTCACCATAATGTTGTATTATACATATTTTAAATTGTTTATAGTAAGTTGATATTTTTTTAATTTTTAAACTTAATATAGCAAGTATAAAAATAAGTACTTATTTTCCTGGTCTGCTGTTATTGGGAGTAATTAGTCCAAATGCAGATCTCTGTATATACAAATATATATATATGTCATTATCTATAAATATATTTTTTCTTTTTTCTTAATTTGGGAGAATGACTAAAAGAAAAATGCCATTGCTAGTGTCAGCCCTGCCCTAGGCTTGCATGTCATTGTCCTCGGCTGACTCAGTAACGCAGAGCGTGCACACTGCCCAGACTGACTCATTGATCCTTACGAGAGGAGAGCCAGGGAGGTCCCGGGTCTGCAAACTCAGGTTCGAAAAACCATGATTCACAGTTTTCCTCTATGGCTAATATATACATACAGTTCACAGGGCAAGTAGCTTCCAAAGCCAAATATCAACAAATTTAAATGCTCTACATGTTTGGAAATATGTCAGACAATTGACCCTACCCTAAATTTCACCCTTATTTTCATATCTAAATGTTGGCTATGATACAAGTTGTTCTACAGAATATTTATCCTGACTATGACCTACTGAGGTATTCTGTTAATACTATATATAAATATTCAAAATATTTTTTCAAAAGTAGGAAAATAGTATGCTCTAAAAGTACAGCCAGATAGAATTTCCCATATTGAGGAATTTGGCTTTTTCAACAAGCCTTCAGAATCTGAAGTTTGTGGAATCTAAAATCCAGAAGTAGCCAGGAATTAGAAAATAAATTTAATGTTTAAGCACCTTGAGTATTAAAAAGACTAAAAATGTGTTTTTAGTCCCATTATTTCTAATGTCACTTTCTTTAGATAATTCTGACAGGAAGAAATATATCTTTTGGCTGTTAGGATGATGGATTTTTATTATGTGTACGTATATGTTTACACATGTCTAGCCAGTTTTAAAGAAGAAAAAGAATGATCCCAAATTAGGTGTGTAAAGCCAACAGAGTACATGCCACTTGGACTGGGGGGTGTCCTGGGTCCTGAGACTAGAATCAGTTGAGATGCAGAAAAGTCAAGTTGTAGAGTTCACACCAAATTGAAACATTTCACAGCTTTCTACCCTGGGAAACAATGGAGAAAGCTTAAAACACACAAAACTGTCAGCTCAGTTAGTTGGGAGCTGAATTTGTTTACTTGAGAAATCCGGTGCTATGCACATGTATCTGCCTCCCCTCTGTAAATAAATACCCCTTCAGTCTTACCCTTCCATACTCTGCTTCCAGGTTCACATTCTAATTGAGTCTTACCTTCGCAAACTTAACAGCAAAGCTCTCTGATGACAGAAACATTTGGTGGGTGAAGAAGCTTTTGGCATTGGCAGTAAACATCCTTCCAAACAGGACTCTTCCTTTGCCCCATAAAAGCAGTTTTCACTGCTGATTATCTTTTCTGTACTGCGAATGTTCTGTTGGAGTCATAGATTATTGATTCCAAATATCTGACCGAAGAAGAGTGAGTTTAAAGCCCATTCTTTATGGTTCATTCTCATTGGGAAAGTAGCGAATGTGATCTTTACCCCTGTGCTCCCTCCACCCCGATTGTGTTTCTGCTTTTGAGCAACATTAGGTTTTCCCTATTTCCCCGAGAATATTATTTGTATAAATTTTATTTTTAAGAATCAACCTTAAGACATGGATATAAAATGGAAACCCCTGCTCAGAAGAAAATATGAATCATCTTTTACAACAGCTCTATATGAACTTTTCTTCAATTTTACTTGCTGACCATACATTTCGGAGAATCATGGCCAATTGTGTTGGAGAGATACGATCTTTTACTATCTCTTATTTTCTTACTCTTAGTTTTGTTTATATGTATTAATTGTTGGAAATAAACCATGCTTTGTGCTAGTATCTTTTGTTGATTACTCCCTCCCTTCTGTTTGAATGTCACACATTTGTGTCCTAGATCATATGTAAAATATTCAGCTCTTCCTTCAATTGCCAGATAGGAAATTTTGTAGCTCATCGTCATCTGATCTTCTTTGTCCTCCCCTGTGCCTCCAATTCTGGAATATGTTTTCTGGCCCACTGCCATGCAGTTGGTTCTGATTCACAGCATCCCCATAGGACAGGTCAGAACGGCCCCATGGGGCTTCCAGCCTGCACACTTTATAGAAGCAGAGGGCCACATCCACCTTCAGAGCTGCTGCTGAGTTCAAACCCACAACCTTTTGGTTAGCAGGTAAGCACTTAACTGGGCACCAGGATTCCCTACAACTCGAAACACTTCCATCTTATTTTCTTCGTGTTTCTAATACAGGCTTCCACTTTTTGATGCAGGGAAGTGGTCCCTGAAAGTGTCATTTTTCTAGGTGAGCTTACCAGGATAAGTTTTATTTGATAATTGAACATCTCTTTCACCAACAGCTGCATGCCACTTTACCTTCACATTTTCAGTATATGGTTTCTTCCTACCATCCGCCATACTGATTTCTTCCTGAAAGTTAGCTTAGGAGAGGGCTTCTCCCGAGCTTTCACGGCTACCTGTCCCTGAACACTGCAAGTTGCTCCTGCCGCGGGCCCTCCGCCAAAAAGGGTGTGGTCCTGGGTGTTTGCAGACACACAAGGCCACCAGCCCTATCCAGGCTGCTATTCCTGTCACCATATGTAAATTTAAAAGATAAGAAGATTAAGGTAAGTCTTTGAAGATGCTATCATAAAAGACTAAGCCTATAATTTGATAAACCATTTTCAAATGACTTCATGAAAGTGCAATTGAATATTCAAAATATATAGTTAACGATTTAAACACATCAAGGTCTGAAATATTGGAATCCATCCCTTTGTTCTTGCACTATATGGAATCTTAACGCTTTATTTTAGGAAGAATTCCACGTTTTAGAAATCTGGGCCAAATCTATTGCCAGAGCCACCAAGGAAATAGAATTCCAAGGGATAAAGGAGAAGTCGTGCGGGATGTCTCCGATTCAACTGCCCACTGGGAACAGTTGTTTCTAGGCTAATGGAATGGCTTGGGGTTTGTGCCCAAAACTATAAAGATCATTTTGCTCATCAAACAAGAGGACCATCTCAATATGAGTTAAAATAATATTGCTACGAAGGTCCCAGTTCGTATACACGTGGGTCTATTCCAGACAAATATTGTTTAAACATGTCTGCGGTCCATGGATGGCAGAAGACAAGCTCTCTCAATGGCACACTTGGCTTAGTTTTGTCAGGATGCCTGAAAAGTGGGGAGAGGTTTGTGCTGTGAAAAAAAGTGACGTGGGGAGATCAGCTGTCTCACAGAGCTGATGGTTTCCATCAGTCATTTAAACAGTATCAATGTGAATGAAGATAATTTTATAGACTGAATTATACACGAGTCTTGGATTTATCAATATGATCCAGAGAGCAGGGGTCTCAGATTAGTGGCTTGCAAGGGAACCAGTTGGGCCACTTGATTCACAGCAGAAGGGTCAGCTCGGAAGGTTACGGTTGACTTGGGGGGGGGAGGGGTTCAAAGGGGCCATCTTGGTAGATATTCTTCAAGTATATAGGGTGATCATAAATACTTATTAGGAAGAAAATTTCAGAAAACTGAAGATGGAATTGGTGAGGAAAAGGCCAGGAAAATTGCACCAAGATTTTTTTTCACCACTCATTTTTTGAGTGGTAGCAAGGGCTGCCCTCTAAGACTTTTATTGAGAAACTTTACCCCATCTACCATAGAACCCTCAGAACCTCATATTACTCTGACTTCTTGTTCACAAAACTCAAAAAACATGTTTTTAATTAAAAGATCATTTTATTGGGGGCTCTTACAACTCATCATAATCCATACATCAACTGGATCAGGCTTATTTGTACATATGTTGCCATCATTCTTTTCTAGACAGTTACTTTCTCTTGAACCCTTGGTATCAGCTCGTTTTCCCTCCCTCCCCCCACCCCAATCATGACCCCTTGATAGATTACAAATTATTGTTTTCATACCTCACACTAACCACTGTCTCCCTTCCCCCATGGTTTCTGTTGTTCTTCCCCCTGGAGGGCGGTTGTGTGCTTATGTGTCAATCATTTCGATTGGTTCCTCCTTCCTCCCCTCTTCTCCCTCCCTTCCCCCTATCCTGGTTTTGCTATTCCCATTCCTGTTCCTGGACTCTGTGTGTCGTGAGCTCTTATCTCTTATCGGTACCTGTGTACATGCTCTGGTCTAGTCTGAAGTGAGAGGCAGCACTGGGGTCACGATAGTGGAGGGGTGAGAAAGCCTCAAGGAACCAGAGGAATATTGTGTATTTCATCGGTGCTTTACTGTGCCGTTTGACTCATCTGTTCCCTGTGACCCTTCTGTGAGCGGATGTCCCGTTGTCTACAGATGGGCTTTGGTCTCTGCTCTGACCCCTTTCATTCTCAGCAGTATGTTTTTGTTTGTATGGGTCTTCTGATGCCTGTTACCTGGTCCTGATACTCCATGTTCGCACAGGCTGGTGTGCTTCTTCCATGTGGACTTGTTGCTTCTCTGCTAGATGGCCCCTTGGTTTACCTTCAAACCTTTAAGAACCCAGACGCTGTTATCTTTTGATAGCCGGGCTCCATCTGCTTTCTTCACCACATTTGCTTATGCACCCATTTTGTCTTCAGCGATTGTGCCGGGAAGGTGAGCATCACAGAATGCTACTTTGTTAGAAGAAAGTGTTCTTGTGTACTCAAAAAACATTGAAACAAAAACAATTTTAAGTCCCTCAGGGAAGCCAAAATAGCTGTTTTGATATAGTGTAATTTGAGGTGCAGAATTCGGGAAGGGGCAGAGAGTTGGAAACTGCCTACAGATGTGTTTAGATGGTAGGATATGTTAAGGACAAATTGCTTCACATTTCTCATATCTTTTTTTTAGTAAGTTTCTGTGATTTTGTAGCAATACTTTTTTTTACTAAATAATTTTATTGGGGACTCTTACAGCTCTTACAACAACCCATATATCAGTTGTGTCAAACACATATATATGTTGCCATCATCATTTTTATAACATTTTCTTTCTGCTTGAGCCCTTGGTATCAGCTCCTTTTTTTCTCTCCCCCACTTTCCCACCCTTGCGGACCCCTGGTAAATTATAAATAATTATTTTCATATCTTACACTGTCCACTGTCTCCCTTTGCCCATGTTTCTGTTGTTCAAACCTCTTGGGTGGGCGGTGGGGAGTGTTACACACCGATTCCCCCTTCTTTTCCTCCTCCTCCCACCTTCCCCCCTAACTTCATGGTATCGCTACTCCCATTACTGTTCCTGAGGGTTTATCTGTCCTGGATTCCGTGTGTCGAGGGCTCTTAACTGGACCAGTGTACATGCTCCAGTCTAGCCGGATTTGTGAAGTAGACCTGGGGTCATGATAGTGGGGGGAGGAAGCATTAAAGAACTAGAGGGACGTTGTGTTCGTCAGTGCTGTACTGCACCCTGGCTGTTTCCTCCTTTCCTTGTGACCCTTCGGTGAGGGATTATTCAATTGTCTACAATTGGGCTTTGGTTCTCCGCTCCGACCCCTATCATAGCAATACTTTTCATACTTTAAGATATTTTACCTCTAAAACATCACAATTTTGACAAGTTATACTAGATTTATAATCTGTGATACATTCTTTTATTTCTAAACCTAACCTAACACATTGATCTTTTCAATGTTAAGTTTCCCTCAATCTGTGATTATCTCCTCTTCTGCAGTGACTTCCTCCTCATTCACCAAGACCCCACCTTCACTGCCTGCACTTGTCAGAGTGTGCAGTTATCAGAACTTCCTTTGTACAAAGAAATGCCAGAAGTTCAGCAAACTAAAAAAAAAGGACGTGAAACCAGTGGAGTTGGCTTTAATCGCTAAATGAATTTTCAGCACTTTAACACTACAGAACATTTCCCCATCTGTCACTTCCAGTTGGTCCTGAGAAGAATGTCAGATACCAGGAGAAGGCAGGACACCCCCCCAAGACAGGCTGAAATTGGCTGCAGAGAGCAGTTGACAGCCAGGGTGCTGGTACTGGGGTCATTCTCCCTCTACGGCGTTGTCCTCTCTTCTTGTTCATAAGCAATGGCCTGTGGGGACCCGGCTGTGCAGCAGCATCAGGAATGAGTGCAATTAATCTGTGAATACAGAATTTGAACTCGGCTCCATCGTCTTCATCAGCCTTGTGTTGAGCGTTCTGACCAAGAAAATCTAACCAGGATAAGCCCCTCCATGTGGGTGAAGGGAAAGCTCCAGGCGCTGAGCTGTGTGGAAACAGCAAAAATTGTTCCCAAGGAATGGAGGCCTCTTAAATGAACCGGCGAGTCTTCAAAGAAGGGTTATGGCTTGGAACTTGGATCCAGAGTCCTGCACCCTTAGCCCTTCAGCACCCACATCTGTCTCCGCTTCCATAAGAGATGCCTCGCGTTTGTATTAAAGCCTACAAGGGGGCTTCAAAAAGTTCATGAGAACATTCCTTGATCTTTTCATCCCATCTTCTCCAGAAAATCTTGGAACACAGCCCCCTGCCCACTTTACCACCCACTGCCATGCCCTGGCCTCCTTCGGCTCCGATGCTAGAGACATGACTGTGTGTGCCCTTTCATTTCCAGTGAGTCCCCTAACGTGCTAGGAAAAGCAGCAAGCCGTGGTACTGGAAAGCACGTGGAATTCCACAGAGCATGTTTAGATAGCCACACGATCTTGACAAGCTCAAGAGTCCTTCGCAGCAGCTGCCTGGGGAGACTGTCGTCCCCTCGCCCACCTTGCCATCGCTGTGCGATGGGCTTTTGGATTTCCTCCTTCGTAATGTCACTCATGAGCCATGCAGGAAAAGTAACGTCCAGATTTATAACCTGAACTAGGTTGACGTGAAAGGTTGCATGCCCCCACTGGATCATCTGTCATCTCAAACCCTATTGAGCCCTCTTGCCTTTGGGCTCCCTGTACGAGTCCTGATTCTCACTAGTGAGAACTGTCGCTGCCGGGTTAGAACACACAATGTGGCAGGGAAGGACAGTTCTGTTTAACATCTAATCAATCCTTCAAGATGTCACCACTTGATGGAAGCAATATTAACTTGGATTTTCTGATAAGTACATATTTTGATTGCCTCAAGTAATTTTCCCCTCATCTCCACACCTTCCAATTCAAAGGCAAATCATAGATGTCCATTTCTCAGAGTGCTTCCAACGTTAATTTCACATTTTAGATCGGCAACAGTGAGAGCTAATGTCCTGTTGGGCTAGAAAATACTAGCACACGTTGTACTGGAGAAGGCTGTGAATGATCATTTACCCACGCACTTCCTTGTTCCTGTAGCCTTAGCTGCTCCAAGTCACCACGAACTGGACCTTCAGTGACTGCAAGCCAGACAGAACCTCATGTTTTCAACAAAAAAAGAGAAGACCGACAACTGCACATGTGCTTAGTGTAGGGACAGTAGGGGACGTGCGGGCCAGGTCTGTATCTTGAAGATGAGCAACATTTGAGGACTGACTGAGGGACTGTGTCTTCCTCCCCCAATCCTCACCCCTGCCACCTCTCATTAGAAAGCCCTCTGGCACCCCCTCTCCTGGCCTCCATCTCAGGGATGTCTGCATCGGGGGAACCCACTCCCCTGAGGTGAGGGCCTTCATCCACAGCGAGCCGTCAGTTGTTTCCAAGGAGAAAATTCCGTCCCAGATCACACTCGCGTCAGAGGCGCTGGGCTGCTCTCTGGACCCTGTTCTTTCATCAGTGTAGCAAAGGTACAGGAACATCCGGCATGGCATTCTGCTGAGTCCACCTTGAACCCCAGGGGCCCTGACTCAAACGGAGATGGGGCAGGATATAACCCGGTCTTCTAACATCACACTGGTGATGAGGAATATGAAGTACAGGAGGAACATGGTGAAGCCCAGCACCTTGTTCATCCTCCATCTGCACAATGCGATGGAGGTGATCACAAACAGGAGCATGAGGAAGAGCAGAACGATGGCACAAAACAGGCCGTTGCTGCTGACCACGACAGGCACGGAGCCATTGAGAAGAGAGAAAAGCAGCCAAGGAACCGGCAAGCTGCAAGATCGAAGAAACAACGTGAATTTGCTGCATGTGTATAAGAAACCCACATCGCTAAATAGGAAAGCACGTTTACACACACGTGTGTGCTCAAATATACCCTAGGAAGTAGATGACTAGCCCCACTTCACAAATGAGGAAACGGGTTCAGAGAAAAGAAATGATTTGCCTAAGGGATGGTAGGGAGAGCTAAATGGGATACCCTAGATTTAAAAAGAAGTTATCTGGGTCTGAAATCTCTTTTCTGCATACTCTATGACGACTGCTTGACAGACCGGAGTTTTCCCATTCAAGCCTGCCTTAGAATAATAGCTCTACATTCTTTGTTGATCATGGCTCCCCTCCTTTTCCCTTTCACTCCCGCCCAGCCACCTCTACCCACTCATTCCTCCCCATAATCACACTACACAAATGCAAGCTCAAGGAGCCAAGGCGGCCACCCGAATCCACCAGACAACTGGGAGAAGCAAGCAGCCCTGGCGTGCCGCGCTGATGAGGTAGGAGGAGGGAGCCAGGGAAGAAATGGCTTGTGCTGGTGTAAGCAAAATGCCTGGAGAGGTCTGGGCTGGCTGGAGCTGCAGTCCGAGCAGGAGATGAGGCAGTGAGATGGCGTCCTTTCCACCCCAGCCGTGGAGGCCGGGGCAGAGCACTGCACTGTATTTGGTAATGGAAGCTAATGGGCTTCGTTTTCAATCTCTGTAAATTCCAGTCAGTTACATTTCAGGCAGCGTTTTCGTTTGGCCAGCCCATCTGATGAAGGGAGGAAGGCTGCTACTTGGTTGCCTTGTTGAAACAATTCACATAGGTGCCTTTTTAATCGCGTGCACAGTGAGTGGAACAGGAAATGGGGGTGGAGCCAGCACGCTGCTATCCAGCCACCCTAACTAGGCCTTGGGACTAACGGCCACTCACCCCACGGTGATGTCAAATATGTTACTGCCCACGGAGCTTGACACAGCCATGTCTCCCAGGCCTTTTCGCGCCACAATCACGCTGGTGATGAGGTCAGGAATTGACGTGCCTGCTGCCAGGATTGTCAAACCCATAATCTCTTCGGAAATGCCTAACGTCTCACCAACCTGGTGAACAGCAAGAGTCATGAGAAGCCATGGTAACATCAGCTCACTGACCGAGGCTCATGGAAGCATGGTCACGTGCCACTCTGTGCAGACACACCACCTTCAGAAGGGCGCCACGCACACCCTCAGCCAGAGGGAAGGAGGAGAGGGCTGGAGATGGGCCACCGAGAGAGAAAGGGACCCCACTCTAGGCTCCTGGGAGCCAGGCTGCTCTTCTTTCCTAAATTGGACTAAGAGCCCACCGGTGATATCAGCTCTACCTCCCTCCTCTCGCTGTACTCTCATTCCAACTTCCACCTTCCCAAAGAACTGCCCCTCCAACCTGCGTGTGAGCATTTTCATTTCAGAATATGGGCATCTGCTCTGTGCCAGGAACTTGGAGGCCAGCTAGTGAGGGGTGAGTGAGCAGCGCGGCACACCCCGACCGACGCCCTCATGGGGAAGCAACAGAGACAGCAAGCACAGCGCTGGTGCCACGAGGAGGCCACGCGCTCCGAGGAGGCCCGCCTGTGTCTGCAGGGAGGTTGTGGGGTAGGGTTGCCAGCAAGAAGACTACACTGTGCTGACTCTTGGAGAGTGTTACTGATTTCACAGGTGGAGAGGGTGGGGTGCATGGCAGGGAGGCAGAGAATACAGCTGGAAATGGGCGGCTTTCTATGCCACATCCCAGTATGAATGTAAGACAGAAAAGTCACACGCGTTGAGGAACAAGCACCACGTTTGTTGGAATCGAGGTCTACTTTTAAGCCATGACAGTGTAGGGACCAGAACCTCTGCCTGGTGCTGCCCATTGCCTGGACCCCGGAGGCTCCAGCTGAAGGGGAGGGGAAGGCTCGTGGGTGTGCTGGGGCAGAGCATCACTCACCTGGTGAGCCCACCACACCATGAGGTAGGAGAACAGAGCTATCCAGGTGATGGATCCCAGGAAGGTGAGAACAAAAAACTTCCTGGACTCCTATTTGAAAAGGAAGAGGAGTAAGTTGTAGACACTAACGTCCTCTGGCCCTCTGAAGAGAGCCACTGAGTCGGTGAGGAGCCCTGATGGAGACAACCTGGAAACACTGGAGCCTCATCTTTCTCCTATGGAGTGTCTGGTTGTTTCAAACCACCAACCTTCTGGTTAGCAGCCCAACTTGTAACTCACTGTGCCACTATAGCTCCTGGGGGTGGGTTAAGCATTGCCAAATCCAGACCCAGAGGCAGAGTGCAGACTGCCTTCCTCAGATGATGTAAAGTTGGCACAGCTTGTCCTGTAGATAGGAATGTTGGATAGAAAGAACAACTAGCACCTTGAATTTTCAAAAGATCCCCATAAAAGGCAGAAGAATCGTCCCCATATTAAATCAAACTGAGTTGGGACTGTGTCCACACTGAGTACCTGTGAGGTGTAGGGCATTCAAGACCTGAGCCAGGCCCCTCAGGCCCAGGGTCCCCTTCAGAGCTACAATCCTATTCTAAATTCTTGTGGGTAGTGGACCCTGTCAGGCTGGTATGTGCAACCCCCAGGGATAGACAGCCTTGACCCCTCACCAAGCCCCAGGGATAGACAGACAGCCTTGACCCCTCACCAAGCCCCAGGGATAGACAGACAGCCTTGACCC